TATATATATATATATATATATATATATATATATATATATATATATATATATAAAGAGAAAGAGAGAGAGAGAGGTATAGATTATATATTTATACATATTCCACGTAGAAACGGCATAAAAATAAAAACTATTAAAGATCAGGCATCGCTCCCGACTTTGCGCGATCGCTCTTTGTAAGTAATAATTCAAGTTCGGCGAGGAACGTCTCATTGTAGATTCACGCGATCACTCGATCGAAGTACCAGGTGTGGGGCGATTCACCGCTTTCAGGGCCGACCAGGACAGACCCTTTTCACTTCGAATAAAAAGGTGACATGTTCTGTCACACAGGGCTAGGTCACTATGGCCATCATCCGGATCCCGGAGAGGTCGATCTACCCCCTGAGACGCAGCCCACTCCGCCCAGCGCTACCTTAGTCGGCACCACCATCACCCACCTAAGAGATCCGGATCATCATTCTACAGGTATAAAATTTCACGCGTCTTGAATTGTTCAGGACCCAGCGTTCTCGACGACGATTGTCGCAATCGTGGATGAACATACGAACAGTGCGAACTGAACGCAACGCAGATAAAGCGCACCGGTCACACTTGTAACCCTTCAAGGCCCAGCGTACATAATTTATTATATACATTCACTTTGGATCCTGTCCAAATTTTTTATATTGGTTGCAAAGTAATGATTCCGTCGATGTAACACTATTGATCTATTCTAGATCGTATTCTTTGTCCCAATCCGTGAAACAGTGATTTTTCCATTGAAAAGACTAGTATAGCAATTGTGTGTGGAGCGGAATTGTTGACGCTCGAAATTTCGTATAGTTCTTCACGAACTAAAGTAAGCAAGTTTTATGCTGCAATTCTAAACAAATATATGAGTAAATCGTAAAATGGTAAAGTCGCTTATGAAAAAGGACAAAAATATCGTAGATATTTATGAGTTATCATATGACATATGGTCCGCATAGAATTACAGATCTACTCATAAGTTCTAAGAGAAAAAGTTACGAGTTTTACGATTTTGTCTAGAATTGCAATATTATTTTCTCAGTATTTCTTATCGATGTCCCCTTATACTGAAGATAGGGAGAATTCACACCTTGGCAGAAAAGCATGAAACAAAAAGGCAGAAGCCAATCAGGACTCGCGCCAATAAAAGAACCTAAACTGTTGACTATCACCTGACCACCAGCGCGAGTTATGATTGGCTGTCTTTCAATTTTCTGTTCTGCTAAATTGCGAATTCTTTAGAGGACAAGGTTATGTTCCTCATCATGGTTAGATTTATTGAATTCTATAACAAGAGCACACACACATGCAAGCATAAATGTACATGATTTTATATACATTTAGAAAGTCGTACTTCTCTCAATTTTATTCAAATCTTGAAACTTTTAATCAGGTTTTTTAAGATATTTAAGATTTTTATATTCTATTGAGAAAAAGAATTTGATTCGAGCTGGGATCGATGCCTGAGCCTTAAAGGGTTAATTCCTTCGCGAACGGATTAACGTTCTTGGTCATTTCCGTTGATGAGCAGTGCGTAAAACAAAACTACGACGAATGTACTCAAGTGGACTCAATCCCGAGAGGAAGTTATGTGCGAGGCATACGCGAGACGTGGAATGAAGTTGAAGAAAAGAACTGATACACAGATTTGAAGAATAACTTGAAGTTATTGCTCAAGGAATAACTTGAAGTTACAGAAAATTTAAAGAATACACTTTTTCTTTAAGTTTCCTGGATCTTATAGTACGTTTCGAGAGGGCTTCGCTAGGAAATAAAAAGGAAAAGCAAAGACACTGCGTCGCAGTTTCCGGAGTTGTGTCGGTTTTCCTCCGATGATTAAAGATTCGGCGCATGTATAGTCGCCATTCTTCGTGCAGGTCTTGCCTCATTGTCGTGATACATCGTCTCCCATTCACTCGGTCTACTCGACACGGCCGTCGTACGTTTTCATTCTTCCCGTCGGGCGACGTCGGGGTGCGGCAGTATAGGGTTAGAACACTACCGGGCTGAAAGTGCACAGCCGGTCATTAGGCGGACAGGGAATCAAAATAATTGGCCTAATCACGCTTAACTGGTCGCGATTAGATTTGCGTTGCTCGGCTCCTAGCAGCCCACGCAACCTCGTTTAGCGTCCGCGTTCAGTTTCGCCTTCGACAGCGCTCTCTTATCGATCCCCAAGTGGCAGGTTCACGCGTTTGCTCGCGAGTCCCCCGGGCGGGCGAGGGTGTACCGTCGCGAAGTTATCTCTCGATGTCGATTCCACGTGAGCGAAGCGCCCAGCTGTGTATCATGTCCCTTTCTCGCGACTTGTTCGCAGAGATTCAGAATTGCGACAACGTCAAGATAAAATTCGAGACGTTACACACGATGGACTCATCGGACACGATTGACATAGACAGCCACATGTCGGATCGGGCGAGCGTGAGCTCGAAGAATGCAGCCGACAGCGACAACATGATGATGATAACGCCGGAGCTGCTCGGGCTGATGCCGTCGGGCAGTTCCGTGCACTCGGACTCGGGCGAGAATAATTCGAGGGGCCACTCCGGACAGTCCAGCTCGCACCATCACGGCTCGAAATCGTGGACGCAGGAGGACATGGACGCGGCTCTGGAAGCCTTGAGGAACCATGACATGAGCCTCACGAAAGCCTCTTGTAAGGGGATCAAGTTAACTCACCATCTACATGTTTTTCTCTATTTATTTGTTATATGTATTAGTTATCGAAAACTGGAAATTAATACGGTCAATTTCTCAATAATTGTTAACCCTAATTGTCTCAATGCGGGTCGTCCTGCTACAATTTAATAATAATAACGATAATAATTTAATAATAATAATGATAATAATTTAATAATAATAATTTCGAGTATAAATGATACTATAACTTGTATAAAATAACTTAGAGAAGTTATTTAATTATATTATATCGGGTTATCAGGTTATCAGGTTATAAATTATATTTTATCAGGTTGCTGCAAAAGATTGTCATTTTTCTATTAAATTCTCCTAGAAAGTCTAAATACTGAAAGGAAAATAGAAAATTCTTGTAAGATGTCGACAAAAATACCGAGTTGATGTTATTTATTTCATTCGTGATTATATTTTCCTACTCATTAATTTTCTGGTTCATTAATTCTTCAAAATTAATTCTATTTTCTACTTTACTTGACAAACACGACGGACCTCTTCCATCAATTTAATATGTAGTATAAAAAGAACTACGTTCCCATTAATTATTACAAGATCTATTCTAGGGAGTAGGAGTGAACGTATAAATGAGCAAATGTCATGGACGTTTTCAGCAACATTCGGTATTCCGTCGACGACACTTTGGCAACGGGCGCATCGACTGGGCATCGACACGCCGAAAAAAGACGGCCCTACAAAATCCTGGAGCGACGAGAGCCTGAACAACGCGCTAGAAGCGTTGCGTACCGGCACCATCTCGGCCAATAAAGCGTCCAAGGCGTTTGGCATACCCTCCAGCACGTTATACAAGATCGCCAGGAGAGAAGGTATCAGGCTGGCTGCGCCGTTCAACGCGAGTCCCACGACGTGGTCGCCCGCCGACCTGGATCGCGCACTAGAAGCGATACGATCCGGTCAGACGTCCGTGCAGAGAGCGTCCACCGAATTCGGCATCCCGACTGGCACGCTGTACGGACGATGTAAGCGGGAGGGGATCGAGCTCAGCAGAAGTAACCCCACACCGTGGAGCGAAGACGCGATGACTGAAGCTCTCGAGGCCGTCAGGTAATCGGCGAGTCTCTTATCACTGACGCTCGTCACACGCTGTTTGCTAAAAGCGCTACGTTTTGAGTAAATCAGTGTTATTATTTGCTCGTAGACTCGGTGAAAATAAATGTCGCCGAGCGAACGTGTACCTCTTGGAAGACGTCCGAAACATTCGTTTCAATTATAGTTTTTTCGTGATATTCTGTCGAACTTATTGAGCGATAAAGTCAAGTAAATGTTATGCAATATTTAATAAGGATAAAAGACTGTGTTTTGAACTTCTTGAGACTTATTACTTTTATGGATTTGATCGGCACCATAATCTTTTTATCCGTATCATAATTTGTAAATGTTATAATAGCATATATTTTCAAGTTTGAAATTGTTATTTATCGCTGAAGAGAATCCAAATGTTTGAGACCGAAATATTCATCATACATTAAACACAGTCTCTTTTCTTTATTAAATACTGTGTATTGGTCTAACAACAGCGTTTGCTTTTGTTCACTTTTAATTTTTTTCATTTTTTATTGCATATTTTAAGAGCCTTTTTATTTTATATCTGTTGAATGTGGATTTTCTCTCACACATTTTTATTCTCCCTTCAATTTTCTTATTAATTCTTATAAAATACTTTATATTAAGTATATTACCATATTATATATTATATTACCTTTAGCTATTATTTTCTGTAAAAGTTAATTCTCTTTCTTCATTAAATTTAATATTTCTTGGCAGCAATATTATATTACATGATATATATTTACATAATTTGCATATAATACCAACTTGTGATTGCAGATTAGGGCACATGAGCATCAATCAAGCGGCGATCCACTACAACCTGCCGTATTCCTCGCTATACGGACGCTTTAAAAGGGGGAAGTACGAGGAGTCGGTGGTCGGTGAGATCTCGCAAGACGGCAGCAGTCCGCACTTCCATCAGAGTCCCAACCAGAATCATTCGTCTGCCCTTCCGGATCAAATGCCTTATCCGGGCAGCTGAAACTTACCTCTTTACTAGAGTATTAAGTTAGCTTAAACCTTTCGAACTTTTCGAATCGTCGCTGCGCAGCTTTGACAGCTCCTTTTCAAATACGCGCGAGAGGAATTCCGAGAGATTAAAGCGAGACCGATCAGGAATGCCGTTATGAGACACACACACACACTATTAACAGCGGAGGGCAAGATTTACCCGCAGTATTAAAAGGTGAATTGCCGTGAGCGAGCATTATGTACATTGTATGATTTTTATGTCGGGACGGAGAAAGAAACGTAGAGACTATACTATAATAATTTATAAGAATTATTTATACAAAAAGAGAGAGCACTGTACAGAGGCCGAGGCGCGCCGCCCCGGCGAGAAATTACTTTAGCGTGTAAGTACGTTCGTTTGCGAAGCGGCTTTGAACACATTCTTACCGAAGAAGTTAGGAACGCATAAAACAGTCACAATTTGCAAGCCACGGACTTACGTGACAATGGATCATGACAGGAACTAAAATAACAATGTACGATGTAAATATTGGTCCTTTAATATATTCTTATCAGACAGATAAAATATAACAGACACTTAAATTTTTCCTGAATTCTCAGTCATGTCGTTGAATATCTTGTATATTGTCGTTTTGACTCCTGTGGTAACATTACCACGCGCGCAAGCTCGTGAGCAGCTGCTTGTAATCGTGACTGTTCGATGCATTCTCAACTTTATTGGAAAAGAAAAAAAAAACACGTTCAAATCATTCTGCAAACGAGTGTGCACCTTAACGAGGGTGAGGACGGATACTGTCGCGGACAGAATCCTGTTGATTAAAACCACGAGAGATTAACGCGTCGTTCGTTCATTTATTAATTGTCGTTACGTTGCAATCGGATCCATTGCTGACTTTGGCAGCAGCAGTTTCGCGGTCGGTGCTTTCGACACTTGATACCCCGCAACGTACATGTCGCGGGACGAGTCAGGATCGTGCGCGCACAATTTTGCGTGGCGCGATCTCGCGTGACAAGAATACACGCGAGGACGTTCGCGAGCGGTGCCGTTACGGGGGAGAGAGCGTACGCCTATAATTTTAACGCTATCCACGAAATTTGAATACGTAATGACGAAAGCGGCGGTATAAAGCGCGGCTGAAGCTTAAAGGCGATTAGGGCGTAAAAACTATTGCGAGTGATTTCAAGAAAGATGTTACGAATAATTTTTATTCACCCCATACACACTTGTTTCGCAACGTTATGTCCCATAGAATCGACTGAGTAGCATATTTTTTATGGAAAATGATGAAGAAAAATAAAACAATGTTTCTTTTTCACACAAGGGGGAAAGTGGTAAATACTTACAAGATAAGTACGGCTTTTATCAGCTTCTTAGGAAAATTTAAGATTCTCCCTCTCAGCTCAACTGCCACTCGTATAAATATGTTACACACATTAATTTATCATGCTCACACCTACTATATTACATAAATATATAAATATATAGATATATACTAATTATAAATATATATATGTACAGTTTATATATTTTAAATTAAAAAGTAATGCAATCAAGAGTGTAGTTTGTATATAATATGCATCTGTAGTGTCCTTTTCTTTGCTCTTTTCTTTTATTTGTACGTATGTTGTGCAAGAAAAGAATTTTCTCGATTGCAAAACTGAGTAAAATTCAACAAGTTGTAATTTCCATAAATACAAATAATAAGATGATTAAAGAAATTTTTTATAGAGCTTGAAGTCTCTACATTTTAGATATTTCTCCAAATATAACATTTGACTTATTTATCATCATTCTACATGAGTATAAATTAAAATTCGTCGTTATTAGAATTTTCCTTTATGTTTGCCAAATTGCATTACATAAACAAAAAGTCACGTAATAAATGGTATATTGTTTAAAAGTATAAACTTTTACCTTTAATCCGCAGAGTATGATGCAATTTTTTTTGTCAAGTTATTCAACGCGTTGAAACAAAAGCAACTTTTAGTTTCAATTGCTTAAAGTGAACGAATCGGTGTACGATTACGGTTTCTTAATTTCATTAAGAAACGAATAGAAAGCTCAAAGTTTTTTCTTTCAAAGGTTTCTTTTATATTCTTGTTAAAAAAACAATTCTTCGATGTAAAAACTACAGAATGTTATAAATTGAACAATTGTCATTTCTCATTAAACTGGATATATTTTGGTAAACAATGATTTATCGTTAAAAAGTAGAGATTTCAAACTACGAAATGTTTCACGAACCGTTTCAGTGAAGCCATTTTTACCAAGTCATGGCTCATCGAATTTTACATATTTTCAGGGTAGACTATAAAAAGAACCTATTCACCATTGAATAGTACTATTTGAAAATAATAAAGTCTTCCGTGTTAAATCGTAAAAATTGGTAGTAATAATCCTCTGCTTTGTTGAGTCATAAAAGTCGAAGATAAAACGGCTTATTCAGTCGTATATATTATTACTACTTGAAAATAAGTTTCTTAGGACGGTATTCATAGGCTATGTTCCAATATTCACACCACTCTATCTATAAAATCTAAATATAGTTCACATTACGTATACTATAGATTTTGCAGCTCGCATCGTTTCCTGCCGCGCTGCAAGCGTCAGCACAGATTACAAACTACTACTCGGGCACGCAAGTATATCTATTGTATACTTTTGATACGTCTACATAAATTTTTAATTGTATGAGATTTAGGAATAATAATATTAAAAAATATACTAAACTCTTGCTTAGTGTGTTTCCAAGTTATAAATTATAAAAATAGTTTGTTTCTATTTATTTAATTTTAAATTCTCTTGTCTGAATGAAAAATAAGCAAGTTTCTTTTGGTTTATTAGATTTCGTAGTAAATGAGCACTGCTGAAAATGTTAAAAGGTAGAAGTATACATGCACAAATAATTTAAGAGAAGATGAAGAATAAAAATAAAGAGAAGATTAATGCAAGTAAATATTTCTAACATAAATATCTTGAAACAGAGTATACCATGTGTGCGGAATTGGATTTATTAATTGATTTAAAATACTATATGCATATATATTTAAATAAAGTTTATTTTGAAGCACTTTGCACAACACTGTTCTACACATTTGCTTATGTAAGTAAAATAATCCTGATCGTAGGATTGCTTTATAGTCATATGTGTGAATATATATACGTACGTATATACGTATTTATATATACATATATATGTATTTATATATATTCATACTTTATAGAGACCACATACAGTTCGTTGAATTATTAATGTACACAGTGAGCTGCCGAGAACTCTTATCGCGAGCTTACACCTTTAACATTGCGATTCAACCGCGATTTTGGTCATCCTCTTGATTTAGTGACTAGGTTAATATGTATATATTTAAGTCATGCGCAATATGATTTTAAGTTTCGCTACGAATAAAAGAGCAAATATCAAAAAAACGCCTCTCGTGCTATACGAAAATTTACACGAACGACGCTTCGTCGATTCGTATAAATACAATAATATAGCATCCGCTTTGGCAGTATAATTTTCCATTCTCCAATTAGTGCAGCACGATCATCCTGTTCTTGTTTTCTGCTTGTTTATTACACGTCGTATCGTAACTTAGGTGTTCATTGGAAATCCGTCGGCATTATTTATAGCTAAATGAATATACGCGCAACAATCGCACGGTAAAGAATGTCAATGCGGGTTTTCGCCCCTCACAAATCAACATACAGAATGCGAAAGTTCGAATAGACGCGCTATCTCGCTGTATTGCTTTAACTATGACACCCTGTATAGGCGACGACAGAACTCCGCGATCCGTCTACGTTCGTACCAATCGACGATAATGATGGTTAACGTTTTGTACTTTTGTAAAGTCAGCTAATGTACACTTCGCATCACAACAACCAGACAACTCGAACTGTCCTCTTGAAACTGTCGACGACAGTCTCCTAGTTCTTCCCCGGGCTTCCCCGCGACAGCTCGATCATTAAAATTGCGAGGACGCTCGCATTTTGTAGATATAAACTCGTTATATTTTGTAGAACTAAAGGAAGAAAGGAAGAAATAAGGAGAGCTAAAGAAGAAACGAAAGAAGAAGGTATAAGAGGTATTGCACGAAAACACAGCATCTGTATAATCCGACGAAATAAAATCGATGCATCGTATGTATATATTACAAAAGGAAGCGCAAGAGATGCTTTGCCATCAATTAAATATCATATACGAAAGTAATAATATATCGCTAAAAAAAAATAAAAAATAAAATAAAATTATCTAAATGCGAATATACGAAAAATGCAGTAGAGCTACCACAGGAGCGCAAAAAGTACGTTCGGCTAAAAAATAGCTGCGTTTCTCCGCGTAGTACCAACGAGCGTATATATATATATATATATATATATATATATATATGTCATATTCGTCCGTAATATGATGCATGGTCGCTCCTTGCGTCTAATTTTCAATTCACTGTACGTTAACGGTCGGCGTGATGATTGCGCGACGACGGGAGAAGAGAGTGTTCCTCGAATATAGACTCGATTGTCTTCGTTAATATCGTATAAGAGAAGTAGTCTTGTGTGTATCGTTCGCGCGACTAGACGCAACCGCGACAATATCGAAACTCTCTCCCGCTTGCGTGCGCGATTTAAGTGAAATAACACTTGGTGTCAAAATGAAGGAAGTCTCTCTCTCGCTCTGCGCGGAACGTCAAACGTGCCTCGGAACAACATCCCGTCAGCTTAACAAATACGTTTGCATGGTGTTTAAATCGGCGAAGGATTCGCGAAGGACAGCTTGATATCGTTATCACCAGGGTGTTGGGGTGCTACCACAAGATCACACGTAGTCGTTTTGTCAGCTTCAAACATCGAAAGCTTGTCAGCGTAAATCGATAATATCCTCACGCAATCTCTCTCGCTCTCTCTGTTTTTCTTTCTTTCAAGAACCCATTCGCACGACGACTTTTTAAACGACATCGTACTACGACTAGTACCTACTTTCTACGACCATAACTCGAAGGATAATAGAAATACCTTCTCTTATCAGTTTCGAGAACGTATTCTGCTGTAGGAATCTCGAAGACAAAAACGCGGATCCGGGAATCTCGTGTTACACTCGAGATTCCGTTGACCAGAAAATATCGATTGCACTTAATCAAGATACGAGACGAGCCCGAAGAAATAAAGATCGGCGATGAGAAATAATCTTAGGTCAGTGCAAGAGTTGTGTCGTGTATTTACTAAACGAAATAACAAACGAAATTATTCAATCTCGAGGAATCAATAAAGGACCCCGCACAAACCTTATGGAAAATGGGTCCCGGTGGATTTGGCTGAAACTTTGGAAATTTGTAGTTTACGTGATCCTGATGAAAAGTTCTCATTGCCTCAACTTGATTCATTGAGCCGTATGAGTCCTAGGAACCGTCGAAAGTAGGAAATAAGCGACTGCCATCGCCACTGTTTAGGTAACCATCTGGTAATTCCTATCCCTTCCCTACCATT